TAGGGAGCTCAAAGGCGTTTGCCTTTATTTCCTTTAATAAACTTGACTTGACTGGACATACTAAACTAATACCACCAGTCCCGTAAGACGGAATTCTGAGGCAAGGGGCATCTAAGGTTGACGACCAACTTAATTTTTACTGATAGGTTTAACTCTCTTGACCCTCTTTTGCATTGGTCTATGGCTGCGCTTCTTCCGCACTTTATTAATTTAATGTTTTCTCAAAACATAAGTCGAAGAAAGGCAGTAACAGGGTGCCTGTGAAAGTCTGACAACAATATACTCAGCTTGGAAACAGGTCATGGGAAAGCAAAAAGGTCGTAGGTATAGGGAGTATGTAGCACCACCCTTCAGAATATTGACTTGTCCCGTCCACATTTAGATGACCTTTTTCCAAACTATTGTTGTGAGGTGAGCATCCTGCGCGAATAACTTGAGTTGACCGTTTTATATAATTTACCGAAACCTTTAGTTAGTCCAGTGGTTAACTTTTCTCATTAGAATTGCAGCTGAATCTTGCATATTCTTCGCAAATCGAGCGAATACATCGCGAGTAAATAGGACTTCGGCGTGAATGACTGTCAGCCAAAATTTGAAAGAAGAAAAAGACAAATCCATTAGATAACACAACTACAAGTATATACTGGATACATTACTCGATAATCCTCTTGGCAACATATTGTTAAGTTTTCCCAAAGCGCTTGAACCGACAGCGCTCCTTGCAATCAAGTATTTTGCCCCAATAGGCAGAACTGTACACCCAAGACGACAGTGGCTGCGGCCTCAAATTAGATACATTACGTTCACCCCCATCCCTTCTGTGTGGAGCATCAAAACGGGTCCTGGTCAGGATATACGTATTGTAATACTACTCACTATCTTTTCCACGCTTCATACCCTTTATTCTGCTTTTATTTTTACCTAAAGTTTGGTTGGCCAGAACAGGCACTGGCCAGTTTCGTTCCCTCGACTACCAGCGCTGACACGATCGGACACCGGTCTATGGCTGGAGATGCGAACAATCTGCTGTCCGCACGCAGTCTTCAGTCGTCGGGGCGCGATACCAACACGACTGCCACGAACGTGGAGGCGTCCAAGCCGTCGAATACAGCCAGTTTGCAGTCCATAGCAAAGGGTGATCGAAGCAGTGATTCGACCACTACGATCGACTTGGAGGCCAGCGTCTGCGCAAGCAACGTTGGATCGCCGTCCCACATTTCGCATTCTATCGCACAGGGCGAACCACAATCCGAGGATCTCGAACCGGCCTCAAATAATTCATCACCCAGCGTAAATGATGAAAGGTACTGTAAAACTTACCTTCATTTGCGCCCATATAATGTGCTACCTAGCTGTGACTCTCCTTAAATAACTCTCTATTTTCTTCTCGAGTTTATATTGCTTCTACGGCAACGCAAACATCAATTAGTACTGCCACTACTACTACTCTTGATCGTGGGTTTGTTCGCAGCCTAACTGTCAGTCCTGAATAGGACCCACTCCGCAGCTGTCAGTCTTCCAAACCACGCATTTTGTGGTATCTTGGTAATTTAAAATGTCTTATATGTTTATAATTAGGTAATAAGTGCCTTATCCCAGAGGAAACGATTGCAGTCCACTCCCTCCCCCACATCATCAACAAAATGAATTTCGATACAGTCACTGGGGCCGTTTGAAGCCTGCATGCCGAACTCCTCGATGATACTCAATGGGATTATTATTTCCAAGGTAAAATTACAGCTTTCAATGTACGTGGAGCCGCGGTTCACAATTTTAGAATCAGGAATGAGACACTCAGCCTTTATTATTGCCAGGCCATCGACTCGATGTAATGTAGACAGGATTGATAAATAAGAGATTTATGAAAGATACAATGAAACAGGGGTCAGAAGGGTGTGTACGTAACGTCCAAAAATGAGCCACGCCAGAGTTGAATGTGAGACGGTGGGTTTTGAGTTTCTACAGATGAACAACTCTGTTCTGTCAAGTCGGTTGGTCTGTAACCTCTTCACTTCCCTAAAGAAAACTCGTAAAAAGGGGTATTCAGTCCAGTTTTCTGGATTCTGAG